CTCTGTATGGTTCGATCAGAATCTGTGTGTTTTATTTCCTTTTTTCCACATCGCCCTGTACTTGCAAAAAAGTCAGCTTGTAAATACAAACACAAGACTCTGTATGGTTCGATCAGAATCTGTGATAAATAGATTACAATTTCAGTTGATCTTTTGCATCCTCTACCAAAAAATAGGGTAACTTCCTCTTTTGGATTCGAAAGCCTCCGCAATTCGTAAATATATGGGCTGACTCCAAACATTAATTCAGCCGCACTTGTTAATTATTCCCTGAATTTCTATACTCTTGACTGTTTCTAAATTGACATAACTTATTCAAGACTCATCCCTAAGATTTACCCGGTGCATTGAGCTTCGCGCTGAGCTTCAGTGCAATTGTCGAATGCAGCCTTTTCTATACTCAACCTATTCCGGCACATTCCCTCGCCTCAGACTAATCAACAATCAACCAAAGATTACCCGGTTCGTCATCTGTACTGGTCTATCTCCTCACGCCTAATCTAATATTAGCTTGAACTAAATTCCATTTTTGATCTCGCCAAGACTCCAAGATAGTTATACCTTGCCTCTGGCCTGTTGATCAGCTGGTCTATAAAAGGCCTGATCTAAATCTCAACTCAAGCCAAAAAATAATTCCTCCCCTCTCAGTTCTCTTTCAACTCATCTGTTCCTGAATTTTATCCCGCTGCTGACACATCCAGTTTTCAATAACCACCTATCCTTAGCCTCAACCTCAACCTCAAGTGCAAAAGTTGACACAACCTCTCCCTTTGCCTCGACACCATTTTATCTCCCGTGACTTAACCTCAACTTCGTTCTCTTTATATATCCGTGCATCAGAATGTCTACCCTCAAAAAATTCAGTCATCCTATGTTAACTAGGACGATCGCTGATATTTTTGAACATGTAATGTGATTCTTCCTTGTGTCAATGTCCATTTTTTGACACTTACCTTTTCGGCACTTGACCAGCTTGAACAATTAATTGCTGCAGGATCAACCTATGGACAAATGTATTATTCGACATCAGTCCCCTTCCTTGACTCCTGTACTAAGGAAGAGAAGAATCTTCTGATTAAATTATGCGGTTACGGATCTGCCG